CCTTTATGATTCGAGCATTTAAGCTTGTAAGGGTATCTGAAAATATGTTGTCCTTAAGTTATCAGACTTGGGAGTCATTGGCTTAAAACTCATTATAGGGGCCATTTAAAAAGCAATCAAAGATGAAGTTGCACAAAAAAAATTTGTTCTCTTCGAAACCTTTTTTATTCGGGTTATTAAGCCTGTAAGGGTATTTGAAAATCTGGCGTCCTAAAGTCATTTGATTTGGGAGACATTAACTTAAAGCCTGCTATATAGGTCATCTAGAAAGCTTAAGGAGGAGACAAAAAAAAAAAGCAAGTGCATAAAATAAAATAAAAAAGGCAAAAGCACTTATTGCCTTGTTAAGTCCCAATAGTTCAAGTGAATTTGACTTTTGACAAAAGATAATTAGCTTAATTGAGTCTTGACGATCGAAGCAATCAATTAATTGGAGAATCATTATTCAATGATGTGTTGACTTGCAACTAGTGACGTCCACCTGAATTGGAGAGGGTGGGGATATTAATGAAAAAATTCAATCTTAGATCACACACTGGGAAAAGAGTAAAAAAGAATAAGTTTGGGGGTGTGTGAATTTTACGAGAGATGAAAGGATATATTTGACCATAGAGGGTCGGGAATTGGAACAACTTGTGAATTCATTAATGCCAACTTAGTTCTTCACACTAACACGTTAGTTTTGCATTGGAAAAGTGGATATTAGTTTGGTATTGTGACTTTGAAACAGTTTGTAGATTTAATACCGTGATCTCAAGTCTTGAGGTAAAAAGCTAAACGGTCCAACCAAATATTTTTACATGTTTGTATTTATTTAGGTTATAATTTTGTTCGAGAATGAACAAAGGTTTAAGTTTGGGGGTATTTGATAAATGCAATTTGTGCACTTATTTAGACTATTTTATTAAACTTTTATGTCGTCAATTTATTAATTTTTATTTGACTTAGATTAATTTTCTTTGTGTTTTTAGTGATGGACTCGTTCAGAGCAAGTAAAAAGGATGAAGAATAAATTGGCTATTGGATGCAATATTGAATATCAAACTCAACACTTGTAAAATTGAAGAGGACGTTGATTACACAATTGATGAACTCAAGGACTACATTGCATTAACTTAAAAGTTTGATGATTTGGAAAAAATAAATTATTAATAGGACCTCAATTTGGAATTAATTAAATTGGGGTTTGGAGTCAAAGGAAAACAAAGAGGTGAGATATGGAAAAGAAGTGGGCTGCCGGCATGAAGAAAATGATTGGAATTGTATTGGAAGTCAATAATTGTTGCCACTTTGGAATTCAAATCATACAAAATAAAAGTGGGCTGCTTGGGCTTTGGCGGGTGCGGGGGGGGGGACAAAAATAAATAAATTAATAAATAAATATATATA